GGGCCCCGCTCCGCGCGCGCGGCCTCCCCGCGGCGGCAGCGGCACCGCGCACCGGGCGCCCTACCTGCAGGTAGCTGTTGCCCGCGGGGTCGTCCATGATGAAGTGCGCCTCCATCCTGCCCTCAATGATCTGCGGAGAGGGGCTCAGCGCGCGGCCGCGCACAGCCCCGCACAGCCCCGGCGGCCCCGGCGCACACTCACGTCGAGCAGCCGGGCGCCGAACGCGCGCAGCTTCTCGCCGCGGCCGGGCGCGCCGCTGTCGCCCAGCTCGAAGGGGTTCCGCTCCACCTGCGCGGGCGCAGCCGTTCACCCCGTGTGTCCTGTGTGCGGCACGGCGCGGCCGGGGCGGCCGCGGGCAGCACCCCGCGCTCACCAGCTCCTTGATGTCCCTGAGCAGCCCCTCCAGCGTGGTGAACTTGCCGCCGAGCGCGCCCATGCCCAGCTCGAAGTCCAGCTCGGGAATCTCCACGCTGCACGTCTCCGACTGCAAGGGCGGCCGCTGGGCACGAGCCCACGCGCCCGCCACCCCGCGCCGCCCCGTGCCACCCGCACCTTGAGCACGTCGCGCGTCATGTCCGAGGCGTCCGTGATGCGCAGCGTGATCCGCGTGCCCTGCGCCTCGATGGCGCCGCCCGAYTTCACCTGTGGGCGCGGGGGTGGCGGCAGTGGCCGGCGCGGCGCCCAGGCCGCGCGGGTGCCACGGGCAGCCCATGCAGAGCTCCTGCCCGCAGAGGYGGCCGGCATGGCGCCAGCTCGGCCCGCGGCCCCGCGCTCACCTCGTTGGTGCGGTGCCCGCACGAGTCGCACGTGGTGGCCATGATGATCACCTCCTTGAAGTGGGGGATTTCTGGCGCCGGTGTCAAGGGAAAGGCCTCACGCACGCGGAGGGGGCGTCCCCGCGCCGGGAGGGGTACCAGTGGCGGCTGGCGGGCGGCTGTGCCCACCGACAGGCTCCGCGCTGCCGGCACCGCGCCCGGCCCGGGAGCCGCGCTGGGAAGCAGGCCGCACACAGCAGCTGCCCCGCGGCGACGGCAGCGGCCCCAACGGCAGCGCCGCGGGGCCCGGCGCCAAGGATACGCACGAGCTTCATGTTGGTGGCAGCCGGCGCGTTGCACTCGGGGCAGTTGGTGTTGAACTGCAGCACCTGGGCCGGGGCACGCTCAGCACCGCGGGCACGACGTGCACGTGTGCCGGGGGCCCCGCGCCCGCGCTCACCTCATCCCTCAGGTCCTCGGCGGCCTCCGGCGGCGCCTCCGGCGGCTCCGCGGCCTGCAGGGGGACGG